TGCATGTCTCAATTCCAATGTCTACTAATGTAAAAAATTACCCTTTTCTCTATTAATAATAACAAATAAATATAGTGCATATGACTTTACAATTCTTTGAAGATACTGATATGTTTTGGGAAGGAAAACAACTGTAATGACAGCAATACACTTTATATTTTTTTAATTAACTCTTATTAATATAACAACTGTGTTTCTTTTAATGAAATTAGTTGCAATAAATAGCATGCCTAAATTAACAGTTGAAAGCTGAAGTAAGACATTATTAATAAAGTTAACTGTTTTACACTGTTTTAATTTTATCGTCTTCTTTCTTTTTATGTAAGTATCTGTATATTTAATAAAATTATGCAAATTTTACAACTTTTATTTATATGGTTGCTCATTATGATATGCTCGTTGCATTAGTAGAAGCATTTATTATTATTAGAGGTACATACGTTTATTCTTACTCACTTGAATTAAATCAATATTTCCCAGCTCAACTAAGAACAAAATAAGCGGCTTTCAAATTCAAATTCAACATTTGGAATAATGTCTTAAGTTTTAACTTGCAGACTAATTTCTCGATAATTTAAAGTGAATTAAATAAATAATAAATTGAAAACGAATAATCAATAAATTTCGTAATTATTGAGTACTACGAAAAAGAAAATGCAGCTAAACATTATATTTACATTGGTTACAGTTTTTAGTTACTAAATGAGACAGTCTATTTGTCATATTGGCACACAGTGATTCGTGTCAGAGTTCCACCTTATGACGTGGTGTTTTGTGTATTTAGTTTTAAATTATTTGAAAACGTATGTTTAGAAATGTGTTTAAATAAAAGTTATTAGTGTATGTAAAATTATCCATTAATTAAATCATTTTAGATTGCTAGAACCTATAAAAATTGACAGTTTTAGGATCTTATGATACAAATAATTTGTGATTTTTCAACTTTTATCTTTGATTAAAATATACGTAGTGCAACATGTGGACTTCAATTAACTTTAAAATAGTTGTTTTTATTATGCAACTTATATTCATATCCAATTCTCAAAAGGTAGCCCCAGGAGTTAATCCACAACAATACCAGGTAATTAAAAATTATTAAGTTACCTGTAACAGTATTTTAAATAGGTAGTTTTAATTTTAGCAGTATCAAGATCCTCAGTATAATTACCAACAATATCAGGTAGTACACGATGTCTAATGTGAATTTTAGATTTAGAAAATAGTTTGTTAATAACAACATTAAAAGAGAGTAAAACTAACTGCATGGAAATTGTGCTAGTACTAACAATAATTATAACCTACAACCCTTACTTAAATGTATTGCAATAATATGAATTAGTTTTTTTAACCAACTAAATAGTGGATGAAGTTCATTTATTGATTATTTTTAGCAACCTCCTGTTAATCAACCATCACCTATACAACATCAACAACAACCTGTTCAACATCAGCAACCACCTGTTCAACATCAACAACCTCCTGTTCAAAATCAACAACCTCTTCAGCAACAGCAGGTTCCTATTCAACAACAACAGGTACCTGCTCAACAACAAGTTCCTGTTCAACATCAGTCCCATGCTCATGGAGCTTCTTTTACTTATTAATGATTCGGCTTTCAAAATCAGGATTTAAAATATTAATAATCAAGAAATAAAAACGTTTTTAAATTGGGGGTTGGAAGTGCAAATCGATGTTCTTTAAAAATTTTTGTGGCAAAATCAGCAAAACCTAGTGGAGCTATAAACGCCAAACAGGCCTTTTGAATTCTAGGAAATGAATGTTTGTGGGACTTCGTTTACTATTATTAATTAATACTGTTACTTACCAGTTCATTGTCATAAATCTTTCATTCTGCTACAGCACACTTTCTTCGTTCCCAACGGTAAAAGGCACCTTCACGCTTTCCTCAAGCTTCGGGTATTACCACGTTCCAGAGTGCAAGAGCTCTGATATAACCAATGTTTTGTAACATATGGAATGTGGAGTTTTTATGTTCCTGTAAAATAAAATATGAATGTTTAAGATATTATTGATATATCTTTCCTACTAAAAAACGTATATAATACAATANATTTTATACTAGTGCAAAGATTTCAAGATCGAATTACGTAGAATAACAAAACAAAACTCATATAGTTGAACCGGCGCTAAAAATTGGAATTCTGAATTAGACCATTCGCGACTTATGCTCTCCTAATATAAATTTTCAGATTTATCAAAATTTTCAGTTTTGCGTCATATACGATGGCTGGCCAAAAAGTTATGGAAAAATCAAATTTCAAAAAACAACTTGAACTTTCTATTACTTTTCGACTGACCTTTGTATTTCGCTCAAAACTAAAAATTTTCATAAATTTCAACATTTGTATTAGGAGAGCATAAGTTGCATCGGGTCTTTTTCAAAAAACAACTTGAATTTTCCATTACTTTTCGACTAACCCTCGTATTTGGCTCAAAACTGAAATTTTTCATAAATTTCAACATTTGTATTAGGAGAGCATAAGTTGCATCGGGTCTTTTTCAAAAAACAACTTGAATTTTCCATTACTTTTCGACTAACCCTCGTATTTG